TGACTTTCTATCTCATAATTATGACTTTCTATCTCATAACTTCGACTTTCTATCTCATAATTATGACTTTCTATCTCATAACTTCGACTTTCTATCTCATAATTATGACTTTCTATCTCATAATTATGACTTTCTATCTCATAATTATGACTTTCTATCTCATAACTTTGACTTTCTATCTCATAATTATGACTTTCTATCTCATAACTTTGACTTTCTATCTCATAATTTCGACTATGAGGATATTTTTATTATCAAGTCTAACTTAAAATTTTTTATTTTTTTTAAAATTTAAAATAATATATGTTTTTTTTGCTGGCAGATTCGCGGGCCACATAAAATGACGTGGCGGGCCGGATTTGGCCTGCGGGCCTTGAGTTTGAGACCCTTGCACTAGAGATTGCAGGTTTTAGGGGCTGGTCCTTGTAGGTCAAAGAGGGGTGGAGCCAAAGGGTTGTGTGTCTGATTCCTCTGGTAATTTAGCAAGGCATTAACACGGCAGGGAGAGTTCATTAATAAAATAATAAAATAAATATCATATCAAACCTGAGGCGACGCTTTTTATTTCTTTGTGTTAATAATAAAAACACATTTTTAAACTCATTTCTTTATTAACAGACTGAAATAACGTGACTTATGTTTAAAGATATTTATTGAAACGTCTCTGATATTAATATATGAGTTCTGTTCTCCGCTTTAATGGCGAGCGGCTCGTTTAGGGAGGGGTCCGGTTCTCTCCGTGAGAACGAGCCGGCGGTGAGTCGGTCATACCGGCTTCAAAAGGTCCCGGATGTACCCGGAGAGACGGACCCGGATCCTGCAGGACTCGGGTCCGGGTTTAACAGGCACAATAAACGGGATAAGAGCTGTTTCCATTATTTGTATCTGGTTACCTCTGTTTGCATGTGCGCGTCCCTCCTCTCCTCCTCCTCCTCCTCCTCCTCCCCACATCCCTCCATCTGCGTGGATGAAGAGCAGGGAAGCATTTTCAGGAGAAGAGTGATTCAATAGTCCTCTTTATCCGACCGGACTCGATTGATGAAGATGAGATGGATTCTTTATCTTCCTCTCTCAGACACATGGGATGGAGAGGAGCTCGGTGCTGCTGCCGGTGGACAGGATCCTCCTCTTCCTCCTCCTCCTCTCACTGACAGCATCATCTGGCTGCCCTGAACCCCTCCTCCTCCTCTTCCTCCTCTCTCGGTGCTGCAGGCAGAGTCGAGTTAAACCATTTGTGAAAAGTGATTCTGCTGCACGTCTTCAGCTGAGCTCTAAAGTTATAATAATATTGTTATAATAATAATATAATATTATTATAATAATATAATAATTTATATTATTATAATATATATAATTTGTATATATATATAAAATATATACAGGGTTAAAGGTCAAACTTTAACTCACAGCTCTGTGAACACACTTTAACAAAGTGTGTGTGTGTGTCTGTGTGCGCATGTCTGTGTGCACGCACACACACACGTGTGTGTCTGTGTGTGTGTGTGTGCGTGTGTGTGTGTTTGGGGAGATATCAGTTCTACACCGACATCTAGAGGCGATTCTATGCAACTACAGATTCTCTCTTTGTTAAACACTTATAATATTATTGTGTATTATTATTATTATTATTATGAATGTTGTTGTTGTTTTATAATAATTGTTGTTGTTGTTATAGACACATATTCAATAGAAGATCAAACATATTATCTTCTGTAACCTTTAGAAAACCTTCGTTCAATCAATAACTGTAGAAGATGTTTGTTTATATTGTTCATATATGTTTTATATTCATCTCTTCACGTAACTGAACACTGCTAATATTAGTATATTAAACATTGTGCTGTTTTGGATATAAATACAGTACTATATCTCATAAATACTGATGTGAAATAAAAACTCTGATAAATAAAATAAAATACACAAATCATTTCAGAATAAATAAATCAAATAGAGATATATTAAAATATGAATATATATATTCAAATGTATTTATAAATAAAAGAAAATTAACAATTAAACACAAATGACTGAGTCTAAGTCCCACCAACAATAAAATAAAATGTCTTTAATTTCAATAATTAACATTTCATTACATTTTAGTTTAAACAAATATTGTAACACACAGTTGAATGACGTCAGAGTTGTATATATATATAATATATCTTTCTTTTAATCTATTTAACAGGCGCATGTCACGTGACGTGAGGTCACGTGACAGACTGGATTTGTTCGTAAACACGGAAGTAAAACATCATCAGAACGAAACAGACCGGAGCCTCAGTTCCTCCTCAGTTTAGTTCCGTTACCGGACAGTTTACCGTCTCACCGTTAGTTTACCGGCTCTCCGTTACCGTCACTTCCTCCCGGTCTGAGTGAACACGATGGATACGGTTTTATTTTTAACTCTTGGTCTGGTTGTTTTTATAACTCCGGTAACGAGCAGCACTTCCGGTCTGAAGAAAGTCCCCAAGACCCAGGTGAGTCAGTACTAGTACATTACTGTAGTACAAGTACAACTGTGACCCGCTTTACAAACCAAGAAAGTAAATAAAAATAAAACGCAAACCTTGAAGCGGAAGTGAAGTAAAACTTGTGTGGAAGGTAGAAAACAACACATTCAGAGGTCTAAACTACTTGATTGACTTTGTACTTTGTGTACTTTGTGTACAGATTCTGGGCTTCGACTGGAAGAACTGTGGAGCTCCAGATGCTTCAGCGGTGCTGAAGACTCTGACTGTGTCTCCTGATCCCATCGTGATACCTGGAGACCTGCAGGCCTCGGCCTCTGGGTCCACCACGGTGGAGCTCAGCGCTCCGCTGGCTGTGAGTACACAGAGTACTGTAGTACTTTATATAGGCTGTGAGTACACAGAGTACTGTAGTACTTTATATAGGCTGTGAGTACACAGAGTAGTGTAGTACTTTATATAGGCTGTGAGTACAGAGTACTGTAGTACTAGTAGTACTTTATATAGGCTGTGAGTACACAGAATACTGTAGTACTAGTAGTACTGTAGTACTTGTGTGAGTACATGTGACCTCCTCAGAGCTCAGCTTTATATGTTCATCAGCATCATGTTTACACCTTTCACCTTCTCCACCTTCTCCTCCTTTTCTCTCTTCCTCCTCTCCTCTTCTCCCCCCC